GACATGTCGGGGGAGACGTCGAATACGAGGGGATGGAAGCATCTGGTGCAAGGCAGCCGTCCAGGATGGCCGTCATTGACCGGGCTGGTGGCACTGCAGCACAGGAGGGTCAGTGGGGGCGGCCTGGGGGAGCCTGTCCTCGGAGGTTGCGTGCCTGTGTGTGTGTGTCTGTGTGTGTCTGTGTGTGCGCCTGTGTGTGTGTCTGTGTATCTCTGTGTGTCTGTGTATCTGTGTGTATCTGTGTGTGTCTGTGTGTGTCTGTGTGTCTGTGTGTGTGTCTGTGTATCTATGTGTGTCTGTGTATCTGTGTATGCTTGTGTGTGTGTCTGTGTATCTGTGTGTGTCTCTGTGTGTGTCTGTGTATCTATGTGTGTCTGTGTATCTGTGTGTGTCTCTGTGTGTGTCTGTGTATCTATGTGTGTCTGTGTATCTGTGTGTGTCTCTGTGTGTGTCTGTGTATCTCTGTGTGTCTCTGTGTGTGTCTGTGTATCTATGTGTGTCTGTGTATCTGTGTGTGCTTGTGTGTGTCTGTGTATCTATGTGTGTCTGTGTATCTGTGTGTGTGTCTGTGTATCTGTGTGTGTGTCTGTGTATCTCTGTGTGTGTCTGTGTATCTGTGTGTGCTTGTGTGTGTGTCTGTGTATCTGTGTGTGTGTCTGTGTATTTCTGTGTGTGTCTGTGTATCTGTGTGTGCTTGTGTGTGTCTCTGTGTGTCTGTGTGTGTCTCTGTGTGTGTCTGTGTGTGTCTGTGTGTGTGTCTCTGTGTGTCTGTGTGTGCACCTGTATGTGTGTTTGTGTATGTGTGTGTCTTTGTGTGTGTGTCTGTGTGTCTCTGTGTGTGTCTGTGTATCTGTGTGTGCCTATGTGTGTGTGCCTGTGTTTGTGTGTCTTTGTATGTGTGTGTATGTCTGTGTGTGTATGTCTGTGTGTGTATGTGTGTGTATGTCTGTGTGTGTGCCTGTGTGTGTGTGTGTGTGTGCATATGCGAGAGAGAGAGGGAGAGAGATAGGCTTTGCTGGCCACACGAAGGGTCTCGGCTTCATTTGGAGTAGTTTGGTGCGTCACTGGCCCTCGCCAGGAGTCACATCATGGGACCTGCGTCTCAGCAGAGCCACTGGAAATGCTACAAGAATAGACCCAAGGGCTTGAGGACAGGAGCCAGGAGCCCAGGTCGGAGGTTATAACGATCCAGCTGGGAGAGGATGGTGGCTTGGGCCAGGGCAGTTGTGGTGGGTGGGGGTGGTAAGAGCTAATTAAATCCTGAGAAACCGTGAATGTGGAACCAAGAGGCTTGTCTGATGGTTTGGACCTAGGGGAAAAAAAAAAAAGAGGCATTCAAAATGGTTCCAGATTTTTGACCTAAACAAGATAAAGACTACCACATCTCAAGTCTCCATTACCTTCCCTCCTTGTAACAAATATAAATACTCGCCCGGGCATGAAAGAGCCCGAGTCCTGTTAGAGGTAGTTTACCGAGTCCATGTGATCCCAGCTAAGGCGAGTCACACGGCACAGCCAAGACTCTGCTGGAGAGGACTGTCCGACAGTCCTGTGGCACCTAGAATAATCCCATTTCCACTCTTCTTGGTGTGGATACACACAAATATAGACATGTGGCACAATTCATGAGCTAGCAGAGATCCTGTCGTCTGTTATGGGAGTTTGAAAGAATGTCCCCTGGTATGCTCCGGAGCATATGTTATTGAACTCCAATGAATTACAAAAGATGTATTTGGGGCCGGGCGCAGTGGCTCACACCTGTAATCCCAGCACTCTAGCACTCTGGAAAGCCGAGG